AGATTAAAGAGATGTAACTCAGGATTAAAAGAAATAAATCAGAATTACGAGACTTAAACTCTTAATTATTACATAAACTTCAACTCTTGTATAAATTACGACTTTTTGCAAAATCTAATTTAAAAAATCTCAATAGCACAAAACACTTCCTGAAAAATTAGCTCTCAGAAAAAAAAGAGTTTTACAGATCAATATATAACATATGGATATCAATATAATGATTATAATATAGTATATGTCAATATAAAACATCATCATTCGTTTAGCGTGTGGTGGTGCTGTGGTTTAGTGACGTACACGCATCGCCGATGGTTTCCACCTTATACACATCATGGTTGTCGATGATCTCGTCAAAGGTTGTGTAGAGTTTGTTAAGAAAGTCCACAACCTGGTACGGAGTGCTGGTGCTGGACAACTGCGTGAAGCCCACAATATCACTGAGAAAATCGGGAGAACACACACACGCGCACACACACACACACACACACACACACACACACACACACACACACACACACACACACACACACACACACGGAAAAAAACACACAAAAGCAAACGAAAACAGCATCAGTTATTTCAATAATAATACCAAAATATCAATAATATAAAATAGAATATAATAGAAAAATCATGAATGACACTTACGATAATACAGTTATTAATTATAGTTATCATTAAATAACAGTGGTGATTTTTACTAATGCATTAATGTAATCAAATGTTTTTAGGCTGTTAACTGCAGAGTAGAGCACGACAGCAGCTGATGTAGAGGACTGAGGGTTTATTCTGTGATAACAACCGGCTGGATGTGCATTATGCTATTTATGTGTGTGTGTGTGTGTGTGTGTGTGTGTGTGTTTGTGTGTGTGTTAATGTGTGGATGTGTGAGAGTATGCATGTGAGAGAGTGTGTACATGTCTGAGTTTGTTTGTGTGTAACTTTGTGTGTGCATGTGTGTTTAAGTGTGTTGGAGTGTGAGATTGTGTGTGTTTAAGTTAAGTAAGTAGGAATGTGTGTGTATCGGTGTGTCTAGTGAGTGTGTGGACGTCTGTAAGAGATTGTGTGTGTGTGTGACAGTGTGTGTGTGTTTAAATGTGTGTGTTTGTGTTACTTTGTGTGTGTGTGTGTGTATGTGTGTGTGTGTGTGTGTGTGACTGTGGGTGTTTAAGAGCATGTGTCCATGTGATAGTGTGTGCATATCTCTATGTATGCATGTCTTTGTGAGTGTGTGTGTGTGTGTGTGTGTGTATTTACCTGAAGAAGACTGTGGCACTGACATAACTCTGAGCTTGCATTGGTTTACCCAGTCGCAGGTCATCAGCCACCTGTTTAGGCAACATACCTGAAACACACGCACACGCGCACACACACACACACACACACACACACACACACACACACACACACACACTTTTACCTCACAGTTATGACTTTCTGCTTCACCAAGTTCATTTCTTATAACTTTAAAGTTACAATTTTAAACAAACACACAACAACAGCATGAGAACCACACAGGTTTCCACATTAATGATGTGTATTGTGTGTTAAATGTTTTGGGGGTTTGTGTGAATTGACTCGTTGTTTTGTTATGTGGATTGTTTGGAAAGATCATTTCACAGCTCTGATTCGCAGCAGAACATGATTATTTGGGGGATTTTGTCTTCTGTCGCTCTCTGTTTGTCAATCAATATTTGCATGTTGTGTGCTGTCAGCTGATTCGCCGATGCCGTGCCCATAACCCCGCCCACCGGCCCACGTTTGAGCAGATCCGCAAGTTTGTCCACAGGATCAACCCACATAAAGTCAGTCCTGTGGACATGATGATGGAGCTGGTCAGTACAACACACACACACACACACACACACACCTAATATACACACATACACACTTAAATATACACACACACATACACGCACACACACATACTTAAATATACACACATATACACTTATATACACACACATACCTAAACATAAACACACACACACACACCTAAATATACACACATATACACTTAAATATACACACATACACATACCTAATCATAAACACACACACACACTCTCTCTCTCTCTCTCTCTCTCTCTCTCTCTCTCTCTCTCTCTCTCTCTCTTTCTCTCAATCCCCTCTCTGTATTTTTAGCAGCATCATCACTTCCCTTCATTGCCCACCAATGACTCAAATGCTCATCGCCACTCTGGGCCGTTGACCTTCACGCCAGCCGATGCGTGCACCTCCATCCATAACGCACT